GATCTTGCTTGTGAACTGTGTAAATAGACCTTCTTAAGTAGATTGTGGCCAATCTGTGCAGGAGATTCAAAGACACATCAACATGGAAGACCGGTTCTTGCTCAAGAATGATGTCACTGAAGTAAAAATCTCTAATTTCCATCTAGTATATCATCAATTTTCATTCTTGGAATGAAAAAATACATTTTCAAAATCCTTTGCTCGTGCTGTTACTTATCTATAATAGATTTTGTGAATTTTGTGCAGTTGATCGGTAACACACCAATGGTGTATCTGAATAAAATTGTGGATGGTTGTGTGGCCCGTATCGCTGCCAAGCTTGAGATGATGGAGCCTTGCTCTAGCATCAAAGACAGAATCGCTTACAGTATGATCAAAGATGCAGAAGACAGAGGATTGATTACTCCAGGAAAGGTTGCTTTAAAAACCATATATAGAATCTTTCTATTTTTATCGTCTACAACTTTATGGAATTGACTTCTTGTTTATTTTTTATTAGAGTACATTGATTGAGGCAACGGGTGGTAACACTGGGATTGGTTTAGCCAGCATCGGTGCTTCAAGAGGCTATAAAGTAATACTTTTGATGCCTTCAACGATGAGCTTAGAGAGGAGAATCATTCTGAGAGCATTAGGTGCAGAGCTTCATCTAACAGATATGAACATAGGCATTAAAGGAATGTTGGAGAAAGCTGAAGAGATATTAAGCAAAACTCCTGGTGGTTACATACCACACCAGTTTATAAACCCTGAAAACCCAGAGGTTCTTATATACATCCCACCAAGATTCTCTGTTCTTTGAACCTCTCTGTTTCTCTCTCTGTTTTTATGGTCGGGATCCAAATTTGTTTTGTTTCTTGCAGATTCATTACAGAACAACGGGTCCAGAGATATGGAGAGATTCAGCAGGGAAAGTAGATATATTGGTCGCTGGTGCTGGAACTGGTGGAACGGTTTCTGGTACAGGGAAGTTCCTTAAGAAGATGAATAAAGACATTAAGGTACAAAAACCTCACTAAAGCCAACGAAAATAGTCAAAGAAAACAATGTAATTGCTTTACAATCTTGATCAAATAGGTTTGTGTGGTGGAACCTACAGAAAGTGCTGTACTCAGCGGAGGAGAACCAGGTGAAGTCAATAAAACATGATCTTCTCATAAGAGTTCTTGATTAGCTCTAAATGTGTTTCATTATTTGTAGGTCCACATTTGATACAGGGAATTGGCCCTGGTGTCATCCCAACCAATTTGGAGTTAAGCATTGTTGATGAAGTCATTCAAGTAAGTAGAAAAGTTCATATACTAATAGATCTTGAAACATCGTTCTGAGAAGTGCAATCAAAATTGATTTCAGGTGACTGGTGAGGAAGCTATTGAAACAGCCAAGCTTCTTGCCCTCAAAGAAGGATTACTGGTACACTCTGTTTAATGTGTATATAACTAGAAAAAAACAAAACAAAACCGGTTTATGATAAACGCAATTTATTAAACTGATATAGGTGGGAATATCTTCTGGGGCTGCAGCAGCGGCTGCGTTAAAGGTTGCTAAGCGGCCACAAAACGCAGGCAAACTCATTGTGGTAAGCAGAACCGGCCCTCGATCCATTACTGTAAAACAACCTTAGTACTTAAAACTATTAAATTATTTTTGAAAAAAAAACCTATTGTATAGTTAGTTTCTTCTAGAGTTAAGATTTAATATGATTGTTACAATACGTTATACTTGTTAATTTTTTATATAGTTTTATCAACACCTCAGGACCAGTCTTTATTGTAAACTTTGTCACTGAGGGACAATGAACTTTCATTTAACCGAAATTCAATCCCGGTTATCCACTTGCCTGCAGGTGGTTTTTCCTAGTGGAGGAGAACGTTATTTATCGACTGAATTGTTCGAGTCGGTCAGATATGAAGCAGAGAATTTGTCGATTGAATGAGTGGCGATGTGTGTTTCGGTTTTGTTCGGTTAGAGATGTTGGTGCAAGATTATAGTTTGATTATTTCAGCCAGGTCACTGTAAACTCTTTAAGAGGTTACATATATATTCAATGATGAATAAGGAGAGGTTATTCTTCATTAACTATTTCCACTGTTAATCCTCGGTCTTAAACTGTTATAGACGATCCTAATCTATCTTGGTATAGCTTCATCTCTTATCTGTCTTAGATATACTTTATCCATATGCAAAAACTTAAACAGTTCCATTCCAAAAAATAAATGAAAAAAGCATATCCGCAACTCGTGTTAATAAAATTTAAATTAGTGACTATTTTGTTATATTTATTTCGTTACATTATCCGATTCTGATCGTAATCGTATCCGGATAACATAATATTAATAATTTAATTAGAGAAGAAGACCGTAATGCTTTTTTATAGCTTTTAATATACTAGTGTTAGATGTTATCATCGCATTAAACAAAAAAAAAAGTGTTAAAATGTTATTTTCAATTACGCAATATGCCACAAACTCGTTTCCACACTTCAACATCGTGCAGTGTGCACCACATGTGAAAGTAGCATTATTCTTTTACCATATGTATAAATGTATTCTTAAATTGTATAGCCATCATAGACTAATATAAATACAGTAGTATATATGTCTGTGTATATATACAGTCTGGTGTGGATTTAGAATCATCGATTTTTAGTTTCAATCCTCTTCTTCATCGTAGTTCGTTTTAAGCTTTAAAGGTACGACATTTTTTTGTTGTTGTTGTTCTTTCAAATTTATTTGTTTTAACTATAAAAACAGCAGTTAAGCTCTGTTTCTGCTACTTTCAATTATCTGGTTTTTACTATCTCAAATCGTCGCTATAGACATTGCCATGTTCTTTGTTACTCATCAAATATCGTCTCTCTGTTCAATCTGTTTGTCCTAACTTCGGGGGCTCCATTCCAAATAATATTAATCCCAAGTGCCAAAATTTCTCCTGATTATACTAATAAATTGTAAATTAAGCAGAGTATTTTGCGGAATCTCAAATATGGTTTTGTCTCCTATCACTTCTTGACTTGAAATCTCGCCGATTTTGCATCTTCTATGGTTATTGGACTCTCATAGCTCCTCCACTTTGATCTTCAGTACCCAATTACTTGGCATATATTAAATCTGCAGGAGTTCCAAAGACAGACCAACATGGAAGATCGTTGCTTGATCAAGAACGATGTCACTGAAGTAAAAAAAAAACTCTCTACTTATTCTTTTTCTTTTTTTTTTTTTTTCTTTCTTGAATAATCTGCTTCTTGCTCCTTTGC